TATGGGGAGGAAGTGGGAGGGGAGCTGCTGCATTGTAAATTTTGGTCAATGACATGAGACAAAGTGTATGTGAGCTGCTGTATGAAAGGTGAATTTACTCTGTAAATCTTCACCCAAATCCTAATTAAAAAAAAAAAAAAAATCTAGATATATTTTGGCATCCCCCAGGGAGTTCTGTCTTTGTTTTCTTTCCAGTAAGCAAAGGGTTTATCAGCTCCACAGGAACATAGAAGTCCCAGGTCAGCTGGGAGTCCTGAATCAGCTGGAAACCCAAAGGTTTAGATCTTCTAACAGGCACCACATTGACAAGTCAGTTTCAGAAACAATTTAATTCCCAAGGAGACAATGACTGTGAAATGAATCCATCAAGCACTCACAAAAGTGGTCACTATGTTATACTCACATCTTTAAAATAATATATCAAGATATACCAAACGCTCTGCCTTATATGCATTCTGGTTTAAAAATAACAAATATTTAATCTATTTTCTGTGCTACAGTTTTGTTTTGTTTTCTCAAGGACTTATCATGAAACAGTCCTGTTAGCATCATATTCTTGAAAAATATGAGGAAAGTGTTTCTCCTCACCAAAATACATTTTAAAGAGTAGCTACACATTCTTGGCAGAACAGTGTTTCAAAATATTAATTGTTGGCAAGTTGTTTTGTTTCCTGTTTTGAGACATTTATTTTTTCCAGAGTTGCATTTCTAAAATTATGACACTTATATGTACATTAAAAGTGATTTCCTAAGATCCTCTTTTCTAAAGAGAACTGTTTTTTGAGTTGATTCCTAAACATTCAAAACCATGTGTTAGAATTAGTTATTTGGACTTTATATATAAACTGGTGAGAAACATACTTCAGTTTGCCTTCATATATGTGCTTTATTATAATGAAACTGAGTTGAAACTGGCCAAAAACTTAACATACTTATTTTAGGCAGTTTTGAGTTGTTGTTTTGGGGGATTGCTTTTTAATTGTTTGTATTATTTTCTTTGATTTATTTGTAGAGAGATCCCACTTGCCCATTGGAATATCACCATTTGCTTTTGTAAAATATAGTCTTGTCTTTCAGGTATTAACATATTGCTTGCTGTTTTAAGAAGATTTGTACTTTTAGCCACTTTCTCTGGGGCCTGGAAATAGGGAAGAGGAAAGTGTTTTGTAGTGAGGCATCAAGACTTTTCTGGACACTCTAGGGAAATGAAACAATTATTCAAGATGCTTAGTTACCTGAAATAGTTTCTATATGTAAAAAAATCTAGTTGACCCAAATAAGTATAAAATTTCAAACTTTAACCCATATTTGAACTGTGCTAACTAGACCAGGGAGCTCTGATGGTACAATTTTAAAGTCCAAAATTAAAAGAAAAATTACTTGGCAAAAATTGCCATAAGCTATGCCCCTGGTGTTTCTAATACCAGCAAGGTTACCCAAAGTGGACACATTGTCTAATTTAGTGCCAGAAGATGGCACCTCAGATTAAGTGGCACTTAACATGAGAAGAAGTACATGCAAATGTCCATTAATAATTGGAACATGGAATGTATGAAATATGAATCTAAAAAAATTGGAATTTGTCAAAAATGAAATGGAAATCTTGAAGATAGATGTCCTATGCATTAGTAAGCTGCAATGGACTGGTATTGGCCATTTTGAATTGGATGATCTTATGGTCTACTACCACCACACATCTGTCAGTTTGTCATACTGTGGTGGCTTGTGGGTTGCTGAGAGGCTGGAGGCCATGACACTGGTATTTCAAATACCAACAGGGTCACCCATGGTGGATGGGTTTCAGCAGAGCTTCCAGACTAAGACACATTGGGAAGAAAGAAGAGGCCCTCCACTTCTCAAAGAATCGGCCAGTAAAAACTTTATGAATAGCAGTGAAACAATCTTATATATTACTAAAAAACTTTGTGAATAGTCCTGAAACATTGTCTGATATAATGCCAGAAATGAGGCCCTCAGGTCAGAAGGCACTCAATATATGACTAAGGAAGAGCTTCTTCCTCAAAGTAGAGTTGACCTTAATGGCATGAATGGTGTAAAGTTTATGGGACTTCCATTTGGTGATGGGGCCTGACTCAAAATGGGAAGAAACAGCTGCAAACATTCATGAATAATTGCAATGGAGGTTATATGAAGTATGAATATAGGAAAATAGGAAGTTGTCAAAAATGAAATGGAACACATAAAGATCAATATCCTAGGCACTAATGAGGTGAAATGGACTGGTGTTGGCTATTTTGAATCAGACAATCATATGATCTATGCCAGGAATGACAAATTGAAGAGGAATGGCATCACATTCATCATCACAAAGAATGTTTCGGGATCCATCCTGACGTACAATGCTGTCAGTGATAGGATAATATCTATACGTCTACAAGGAAGACCAGTTTATACTACTATTACTCAAATTTACACACTAACCACTAAAACCACAGACAAGGAAATTAAAGATTTTACCAACTTCTGGAAGACGTGCAACCGGAATGCTCCTTGGAAGTGAGACTGGCTAGACATCATGTCAGAAGGCACCATTCTCTGGAGAAGGATATCATGCTTGGTAAAGTGGAAGGTCAGTGAAAAGGGGGAAGACTCTCAATGAGATGGATTGACACAGTGGCTGCAACAATGGGCTCAAGTATATGTAACAAGGGTTGTGAGAATGGTGCACGACCACACAATGTTTCATTATGTTGTATATAGGGTTGCTATGAGTCAGTGAGTCAGCACCTAACAACAACAACAGTAACAACCCCCTAGTTAGTGTTCTATAATTCCCATTCTTCACAAAATTATTCATACCTTGTTATGATCCACACACTCAAATGCCTTTGCATAGTCAATAAAACACAGGTAAACACCTTTCTGGTATGCTTTGCTTTCAGCCAAGATCCATCTGACATCAGGAATGATATCCCTTGTTCTATGCATGTCCTCTTATGAATCCAGCTTGAATTTCTAGAAGTTCCCTGTCAATATACTCCCTACTAATTATTTAATCAACCACACTAAAACTCAGCTTTTTAGCACTCACTGCATGTCTTAGACTGTGTGGGAACAGAGAGAAATAAAACTATACATACATACATATCTTTTTCCTCTGTGTTACAAATTTAAAACAAAATATTCCATTCTTAAGTGTAAGTGGGCACTATATAAAAATTTCTGTTAGATTTTATTATGTTTTCTAATCCTCCTCTCTCTCTCCTCTCCCTCCTCCCCATAAACACACACAGTCATGCATGCATACATGTTTGGGTGTGCAGAAAATAGTATTCTGATTCCTCTTGTCCTTTTGAAAACTCATTCATTACTAACCAAAAATTTTAATGTGGTTTATATATGGAAAAAAATTATTTTTCATGTATAATCATTCATTATTATCATAATTACCTGTTTGCAATGATGATTTAATTATGCATCCATTCATTTAACAGTATCTTAAATTGTGCTGATATTGTGTGTGTAGCATTGTAAAAGCTAATAATTTCAGTATATACTCAAATGAAAAAATATAATAATCTTCTTTGAGGCATAAAACTTTGTTTAACTTACTGTAGTCGAGTCTATTGCAACTCACAATGACCCCTCCTTGGCTTTCCTAGGCGGTATCTCTACGTAAGTATATTGCCCAATCTTCCCTCTGAGGAGTGGCTGATGGGTTTGAACTGCCAGGCTTCTGGTTAGCAGTCATATGCCTTAGGCACTCCGCCACCAGAGCTCCTAAAATTTAGTTTCGGTTTATACAATATACATACATCAAACATATATATTTAAATGAGGACTTTAGAAAATCAAAATAAAGAAAATACTACTCTGGAGTATGTTAACCTAACAAGGTTCATAGAAAGAATGACTTCTAAATTGGGTCTGAGAAAATGTAGGATTTGGAGTAAAGAGAATTTTCAACAATAATCAATCACTACTTAATCTCTTCCTTTTTTTCTAATTCTGCTTACATGACAAAACTTTAGGATTCACAAAGTCCTAGAATTGCCCTAACTTATTACCCATTTCTGTAGTTAATACCCTGGTGTTGTTATGTGCCGTTGAGTCAGAGCCGACTCATAGCGACCCCTCCTTGGGTTTCTGAGGTGGTATCACTATGAAAGTAGATTGTCCAACCTTCCTTCCGAGGAGTGGCTGGTGGGTTTGAACCGCCAGCCTTCTGATTAGCAGTCAAGTGCCTTAGGCACTATGCTACCAGAGCTCCTTAATTAATACCCTAGTGCAAGCTTTTCTCTGGTGTTGCCTCTAAATTCTTTAGCAAATAGTAAACATTACATATTTGTTGGGCTGAAGTGATATGAATCTATGAATGTCTATTTTTAATTCCAAGAAAGGTTTTAAATTCTCTCCTGCCAGCTGATATTTCTTTGCTTCCTAAAATGTCTGTGTTCAAAATGTGATAGAAACATCATATTGAATTGTTTGAAAATGCTGTTCCTTTATAGTCAGGAGATTTTTTCTTATTATTAGGTACCTTTGAGTCAGTTCCAACTTATAACGACATTATGTGTAACATATGAGGAATTAGTAATAGTATTGTGATTATATTACTCTTATTTATTTATAGATACATATTCAAATGTTTAAAGTTAAAATTTTGTAATAAAGGGTTTGTATCAAAATAATCTGGAGCTAGGGAGATGTTATAAATGAAATACAATTGGCTATGAATTGATAATTATTGTAATTGGGTAGCTGGGTGATAGAGGTTTATTATACTAGTGTTTGTTATAAATATATTCACACACACAAATACATTTTAAATGTTTCAGGTTGGAACGTTAAACATTATTATTTAGGAAAATTTTGTGTTTGTTTCTTTGGTTACCTAATAGAGTGCTTTATTATATGGCTGCTTTTTAAAACAATTATTTTTTAAAAACAGGGTGCATATGGTCCACATTCACCCGAGGAGTGCATTTCTTTGCCTGTCTACACCAGTGCTGAGAGGGATCGTGTGGTAACCAATATTGACGTTCCATGTGGAGGCAACCAAGACCAATGGATTCAGTGTGGAGCAGCTCTGTTTCTAAAAAATCAGTAGAATCGAAAGATAACAAAGGCTGTCTCATCAAAAAGAAAATATCATTATTTAAGCTTTAAATGAAGTATATGGTCAATCTATACTCAAAATGTTCATTCAAACTATCTGTGCATCATCTCTCTATGTGGTTGATTTCATTGGGTTTTTATTATAATGGGTGATAATAATGTAATGCATCTTTTAAGGTGACAATGGAGTTAATATAAAAATGGATATTTTTGGTAACATTAAATATTTCTGTAAGACAGTTCACTTTTCCAGTGGCTCAAAAATTTAATGTTTTATGTAAGAGGTTTAAAACACTGTCTTTGAGGAATTAATAATAAATAGTTTGACCATCATTTTTTCATCCTAATTATTTAACATAATAAAACTATTAATAAATTATTGTGTTCCATGATTTTAATTCAGTATATATACACTCCTCTTTTAAACATTGAAAAAGGTATTGTATATGTTTTAAAGTTATAATTAATGTATAATTATGTATCATACAATTTTATTATATAATATAGAATGATATACAGATAATCCCAAGTTACAAACATACTGACTTATGGACAACTCCTCCTTGCCCTTTAATGATATATAAATTTGCCCTTACTTTGAAACCAACCTACTCATAACATGTTCTTCATCACAGTTACCTTCATTTGCCTCACAGCAGCTTTTAAATCATTAAAAAGACTTCAAGCCTGTTATTGCACTAAAGTAAGGCTAAGAACTGTATGCACCTGCTCCAGCTGACCTACAGATTCTTTTTTTTTATCTTACTTTTTTCTCCCCAATTACCATTCCCAACCCTAACCCAGTCTCCTCCCCTCCCTTCCCAGTAAACCCCCCCCACAACAATGTCCCTCATAGTTATGCACTCCTGTGTGTCCTGCATTTCCTCCATGGGAATGTTGCCTCTCTGGTGCCCCATGGTTGATTGCTCCAAGGGATGCATTTCCATAGAGTATGTGGGTTCGTCACCCTGGGTTGAGTGGTCTGCATGTATGCCTTATTTACTTTTGGGCTGAGAGCCAGCCCCTGGGAGTGAGTTTTATTCTGGGCCTGAAATGTATCCCAGGGCCATAGTATTGGGGGTCCCACCACACTCCATCAGACCAGTAATTCTGGTCATTATTGTGTTTTTGGATTTTGTCTTTCCTCTCATTCTATCCAGGATCTCCACTTTTGATCCCTTCCTGAGTGGTTGGTATGGTAGCCGGGCACCATCTAGTTCTGGCCTCGAGGTCCATCAGGTCCTAGGGCTGATTGCTTCCTAATGCCCTAGTTTTTTTGCCGTCTTCTTTGCTTCCAACATAGGAGACCATTGGCTGCATCTTAGATGGCCCCTTGAAAGCTTTTAAGACCCAGTTGCTACTCACCAAATGTAGGTTGTAGAACAAATTTTTATAGATTTTGTTGTGCCAAATTCTTAAAGACAGGAACTAATCTTGTTCAGAACCTGAGCGCTGCCTGAATAAAGAACCCTGGTGGCACAATGGTTAATAGGTCTGCTGCTAAATGAAATATTGGTTCAAAACAACCCATCAGCTCTGCAGGAGAAAGACCTAACAATCTACTTCCAATTAAGATTGTTGTTGTTGTTGTTGTTATGTGCCATCAAGTAGGACCTGACTCATAGCAACCCTCCTTGGGTTTCTGAGGCAGTATCACTATGGAAGTAGATTGCCCACCCTTCCTTCTGAGGAGTGGCAGGTGGGTTTGAACTGCCAGCCTTCTGGTTAGCAGTCAAGTGCCTTAGGCAGTATACTAGCAGGGCTCCTCCAATTAAGATTACAGCCTAGGAAATCCTATGTGGCAGTTCAACTTGGTTCTATATGGCATCTATGAGTTGGAACCAATCACACACAACAACATACAATATATAATTAAAATTGTAAGTAGTAAATAAAAGGAATAATTCAAATGAGAATAATAGAAGCATAAATTCTGAATACTTTATTAAATATTCAGTTGTTCGCAGATGTTTTTATTCTTTATAGAAACTACTATCCTACCTCTGTAAAATTACTTGAAATTAGAAAAAGTAAAAACTACTCATTTGAATGATGGATCATTTAGTAGCCTACAGAGTTATTTCTAGCTGTTCCTTTCAACAAATAGATTCTGTGAGGTCAGGTTAGCCTTTTTGATAGGTATTTTTAACAAATGAATCATATCATAGAAAAGACATTAAACACTTATAGGAAAAGCATAAAGGATAAAATGAAAGTCAAAATATGTATTTTAAAAGAATATAAATGTAGAATGGTATTTCAAAGTAATAAAAAAAATGAGGAATAAAAGCAGAGAAACCAGGATAAGATTTTTTTAAAAGAAGAATAATCCAAAAATAAGTGAAGATGGTCCATGTAGATGACTTTTTCCCATACGTTTGTATGAAACAGCAAACTTTTACATCGGCTTGAACTAGAAATAAATATATTTAATATTTTGTATTTTGAATTCCTGAACAATTAAGATTGGATTCAGAGATGATAACTACTTCTCTATTGTGTTTCTATGTGTATGGGTGCAATCAGGAGACAAAAAGAAGCACACTGATTTAAACGGACAGATTAATATAGAGACTTACTAAGCTTTGATCAAAGCTGTCAGATGTCAGAGTACCCTAGGGAGAACAGACTTGGTGGGAGAGCCCTCAAAAGTCTGAGGTGCAGACCTCACTATAGAAGGTATAGATGTCCACTAGATGGCAGAGACGTTCACTGGTTTGCTCAAGCCAGAGTTGGTCTGTGCTCCACAAGAGGGAAGCAACCCTCTGAAGTGCGGGCAACTACATCCAGTGGGTGAATCTGAACATGTAATCGGAGTGGGAGCTCCAGTGCAAGCAGGATGCCTGGATTATGCAGACAATTCAACCAGAAAAATAGAAATTCAATCTGCTGTTGTGAAGTTACTTTTAGATTGTTGTTGTTGTTGTTTGCCATCAAGTTGGCCCCGACTCATAGCGACCCCTCCTTGGGTTTCTGAGGCAGTATCACTACGGAAGTAGGAATGCCCAACCTTCCTTCCGAGGAGTGGCTGGTGGGTTTGAACCGCCAGCCTTCTGGTTAGCAGTCAAGTGCCTTAGCCACTATGCTACCAGAGCTCCTACTTTTAGATTAGTAGCCCTTTATTTCGTCCATTCCATTTTCTTCCTTTTGGAATGAGAATGACTATCCTATGCCATTCCACCATTGTTTTTGAAAGCAGATAACTTGTATCTAAGTTTCACAAGTCCACAAATAGAAATTTTGCCACAGTGTGGACCATATCAAGACTCTCACCTAGACCTGGTTTAGATAAATTAGATAATGACATTTGGAATTTTTTGAGTTAATAATATTTAGATGAAAGTTTTGAATTTAGAATTAATGTTGGAATGGGTTAAGGTTTTGGGAGATGTCAACTTGGGATAGATGTATTTTGCTTATGGAAGGATATGGATTTGGGGGTCTAGAGGGCAGACTGTGCTGGATATAGTGTCCAAAAAATAAAATAGAAATAGTGTCCTAAAAATCCACATCTGCCTGGAATCTCAGAATGTAACCTTAATTTGAAAATGGGATGTTTACAGAAGTAACCAAGTTAAGATGAGATACTGGATTAGAGTGAGCCAATCCAATCCAAGATGATTGGTGTCCTTATCAGAAGGGGGAAATTGAACACAGGAATATAGACATATTGGGGGAGGGCAAGTGAAGACAGAATCAGAGATTAGAGTGATTCATCTACAAGGCAAGGAATGACAAAAATTGCCAGCAACCATCCGAAGCTAAAAGAGGCAAAGAAAGATTCTTCCCTAGAACCTTCAGAGGGAGCGTGACCTTGTTGACATATTGATTTTGGACTTTGAGCCTCCAGAACTGTAGAACTATCAAGAAAATAATTTCTGTTGCTTTAAGCCACCCAGGTTATGACAATTTGTTATGCCAGTCCTAGGAAACTAATATACCAACAAGCAGCAGTAAGATTAAACGATTTCATGACAACTATGCAGATTCACTAAAGGAGAGAAAAATAAGGGTGCAGTCAACAAAGTTAAGTAACGTAAACTCAAGGAGCAAAGAAGCAGAAGGAAATATCTCATAATTCTTTCAGACTGAAAAAAATACTCATTCAAAGATAAGATGGTTAAACAATCATCATTGCCATCATTCATAGTTAACATTTAATTAGTCCTGAGCACTACATAGCCAGGAATTCTGCCCTTCCCTAACGATACAATAGTGAAAAGGACATTGATATGCACACAAACAGCAGGGTATGATGAATGTTGTACCCACAGTCCAGAGAAGCATAAGATAAATGCTTTCTGGGCTAATCAGAGAGCACTACCCAGAGAAGGCAAAGCTTTACCTGGATTTGAAGATGTTTAAAGCTGGTACTGGAAGAAGTACAGCCCAAATGTTCCTTAGCAGTGAGGATGGCGAGATTCCTTCTTATGTACTTTGGACATGTTGTCAGAGGGTCCAGTCCCTGGAGAAGGTCATCATACTTGGTAGAGGGTTAGCAAAAAAAAAAAAAAAAAGCCCGTTAATGAGACAGATTGACACTGGCCACAACAATAAGCTCAAATACAGCAAGGATTGTGAGGAAGGCACCAGCTTGGGCAATATTTTGTTCTGTTGTACACAGAATCGCAATGAGTTGTAACTGACTTAATGACACCTAACAACAAACAACATTGGGTAGTAGGCAAGAAGACTCAAACAATGAGCAAAACATCTTCAAAAAAAACACCAAACAAATCTACTGCCTTAGAGTCCATCCTGACTCATAATGACCATACAGAACAGAGGAGTAGAACTGCCCCCATAGGGATTCCAAGGCTACAATCCTTATGGAAGCAAACTGCCACATGTTTCTCCCTTGGAGTTGCAGGTGGTTTGGAATCACAGTCCTTTTGGTTAGCAGCCAAGCATTTAACCACTGCACCACCAAAAAAAAAAAAAAAGAACCACTTCCATTAGATTGATTCCAACTTATAATGACACCCATTGATT